GAAAGATCCATTAATCACAACCATCTGGAAGGGAGCCTCAGCTGCAGATGCAGTCAGGATACTGGGGACAGGGCTGAGCAGCCAGACCAGTGGCTGTGGGCAGGAAAGAACAGCAGGGACTATGCTAAATCCATCTGTGGGGACAGGGGAGAAACCCCACCAGGGTCTGGTGCACAGGAATGGAGATGCAAAGCCTTGGGAATCACGCTAATTTAATCTGAATTTAATTTCTGTGAGGTTTCCAGACATTATGAAATTACTCTGCAACTTAGTTTGTTAGTTTTCTCGGGGCTCAAGCAGTTTCATGCAAGGTCTAAAATCACCAAGACAGAAGGGAGCTCATGCCATGCCAGGTGGCAGGACACTCAGTCAYTGARGCTGCTCAGAGCACCATCYAACATGGYTTTGAACACTTCCAGAGATGGGGTAMCTGCAACTTYTCTGGGCAACCTGTTCCAGYGCCTCACCACCTTCACAGCAAAGAATTTCTCCCTCATACCTAATCTGAAACTGTTGTCTGTCAATTTAAAACCATTATTTTCCCTTGTCTCTGTGCCCTTGTTAAAAAAATCCCTCTCCAGCTCTCTTGTGGGGCCCCTATAGGTACTGGAAGGCTGTCCCAACGTCTCTCTGGAACCTTCTCTTCCCCAGGCTGAACAACCCCAACTCCTTCAGCCTGTCTTCACAGGAGAGGTGCTCCAGCCTTCTGATCATCTCGTGGCCTCCTCTGGATTTGCTCCAACAGCTCCACGTCCTTCCTGTGCTGGGGACCCCAGATCTGGATGCAGCATTGCAGATGGGGTCTCACCAGAGTGGAGCAGAGGGGCAGAATCCCCTCCCTCGCCCTGCTGGGCCCGCTGCTTTGGATGCAGCCCAAGACATGATTTGCTTTTTGGGTTGCAAGGGCACATTGTTGGATCACATCCAGCTTCTCATCCACCAGCACCCCCAAATCCTTCTCTTTACAGCTGCTCCTCTGCCCAGCCTGGATTTGTGTTTGGGATTGACCCAACACATGCAGGAGCTYAGATGAGTCAAATCTGGGAAGAAGTGATTCAGCAGCTCCCCAAGGAGAGAAGAAAATTCTGAAGGTTACCAAATGAGAAGATCTTGAGAGCAGAAAAGGGATTCCTCTTGCCTCTCCATTATCTTGCTACACTACAAAAATCTGGTCACTGTGACATGACTGCTTTTTCCATTTCCTTTCATTGTGAAGATTATTACTGGCAGACCAGGKCTGGGGGCATCTGAGAAGCCAGAGGAATTACATTCCCTTAGTAAAGCAAAAGCACAAGTTTTATCTCGACCTAYGTGGTCTATCTGTCCCAGGGCAAGCTGAAATATGATCGTCCTCATTAAAAAACTGCCCAGTCTGCACAAAGCAAGCGTCTTGGCTGCCTCAGAGACCTCTCCAGATGACAGTGCAGAGGTGATACATTACAGAACCAGAGCTGCTTTTCCAATCATGAGCAGAATAAATAAAAAGTTTGACTTGTTTTCCTGTCAGTCAGCAGTTCCTTCTCATGGTATTGCTCAAAAATCTGTTCCAGTGGTGAGTCACTTTTAACAGYGCAAGGGATGAAAACAGAATGCAGCATGCAAGGTATTCGCAGCTGCAGCCACTGAGCAGTGCTGCCTGGCACCCTAGGCCACTTGCAGGWCCCCCAGTGCTGCTGCTGGATCCCCATCCATGGTCTCAGACGCCCTCCTGCATCCCCTCCTGCTCATGCAGAGATGCTCCAGGCAGTTGTGGATACCTGATGAATGGATCAAACTCTCCAGTCTCACAGCCTGTATTCCTGGGACTGCAGGAAGGGAAGGCCTTCTKTTCACTGTGCTTCCTCCCTGCTGCCCAGAGCCAAAGACAGCCAATAACCTTCAGCAAGCCACGAGGATGGGAAARGTGCTTTTTCCAGCACCAGTGGGTGTTTAGATCCGGGTGCGAGGGAGGAATCCCATTGGCACCCCCTGGAGACGACCTCTGCCATTTTTACCAAGATACAGCACACACTTCTACCAAACACTTGTGACTAGTTAGAAGAAAGGCAAGCTGCCAAGAGGAACAAGCTGAGTAGCTCCTGGGAGAAGTAGCCATGTGGCAACAGGAAGGAAGGGATGGGCAAACCCACAGCGTGGAGCAAAGCTCCAAAAGTGCTCCATTCCTGAAGGTGCTGGCATAGGCAGCCCATTTTCAGGAAGAACAGCACAGCAGAACCCAGCAGAACCAGTGGGATGAGGCAGGTGTGGGTTGTGGGGAAGGAAGCAACTGCCTTTGCTGAGCCTTAACAGCTTAAGGTCAGGAAGCAGAGATGCTGGCAGTGGAGAAACATCAGCTGCATTGAGAGAGGCTTGTAAACATCGAGGGTTGTAAACCCAAGTACTGTATGCAAAAGCAACCACATGAGGTAGTCYACAGGGAAAAGTCCTTGGACTGGGACTCCTTACCTTGGGCACGAACACAGCCTGCCCTCACTACCCACACACAAATCAGCCTGACAACCTGCACAAATAGGAAGACAAACCTCTCATATATGGGCTTGCTCCACAAGTCCAGCTACACTTTCTGCTTGTTTTCAAAACATGAACCAGTGATCCAGCCCAATTCCTGACTTCCATATGGATTTGTGAGTATTGAAGCCTTTAAAAGCATGGKTTTAAGCCATTTATATTTAAATCAGATAGAGGATCTTCTTGAATAAAGACAAAAACAATCCTCAAGTAATTAAGAATCTCTGTTGGGCTTACTGTGGAAATTAAGAAGGGGAAATGTAGATTTGCCTCATTCCCTGAGGTGTTAAAATTGACAAGAGTACTCCGGTGATACAATGTCACCTGAACCAGAGGTCCAACATGTAGCTTTTTGAGGAGCCAAGGCATCAGCAGGTCACTCCCTACCAAATGGGAAAACTGCAGTGAMAACTAAAAGAACTACATTGCTCCACCAAAACTTTGTATTTCCCAATGGAAGCAGCAATATCAGGATGATGAAYCCCAATTGTGGCCAGCTGGATAAGCTACCCAATATGGGAATGTATTTTATATCAGAAGAATATCCCACGTGTGCAGTCCTTACTCACTTTCTCGTATATAAAAATATAGGTATGAAAATGTATCTATCTCTCCATACAAGCAAATATTTAAGTGCAATTGCATGTTCAACRGGGCTGTTTGCAGTGCCGTGCTTGGCGGGAGCAGGATTACTTTCTCTCCCTCACCACCTCTTTCACAGAACACACACAAWGATGCACTGAGATCTTCATTCTCACACAAAAGCAGCAAAAATTTCAGCCCCACAACTGCCTGGAGCTTCGACTATGTTGTTGTAGCAACTCCTGATACAGAAATGCTCAGCAGATGCACAGAGCTGCTCCATAACACCTCTTGTTTTGTGTCTCTGCAGAGCAGCTGCTGTTTATCCCTGCACGCTTTAAAGGAAACAGGAGACAAGTCCAGTAGTATCCGGTGACACCTGAATACAACAGGTTTCTGGCCTAATCAGCCAGATACACACCATGAAACCTCTGAGTTGTGACACTAATTCAAGGAAACTATCCAGTAAAACAAGTTTTAGCTTTGCAAAAAATAATGTATTTCAATTATGTTTTATTCAGTGGAAGAGAAAAAATTACAAACCTGGGCTGTCTCCTGGCACTTCTTTACCTTATCAGTTTTGTAGCAGCTAAACAGTTACTGTATTGCACAGGTTTACACAAAATTTTCAATTTAAGTGTTTTAATAAAAAGGTCTTGGTGCAGCCCAAACTTACCATAAAAAAGCCAAAGCATTTAAGAAACAAGTTCAGAGGTAACAGAAGCCTTCCCCAAAAGGGCAATGCTCTATTTCAGAATAGAACACATGCTCTGATTTTTCATTCACATACAACCCAAAGAGGCTGTGGATGCTCCATTCCCTGGCAGTGTTCAAGGCCAGGCTGGATGGGGCCTTGAGAAACCTGGTCTAGTGGAAGGTGTACCTGTCCATGAAGGGAGAGGGGCTGGAACTAGACTTTAAGAACCCTTCCAAACCAAACCATTCCATRATTGTATGATTAATGCAAAGGATTTAATGAGCTTAAACAAGTTTCTCATCATTCTGAGTGTGTGTCAGAGAGAAAAGCAGGAGACAATGAAGACAAGCACAGTGAAACCAAGTTTCCTKATAAATGAAATCTCTATTTCAGAGCAAATGGGAATGCTAAAGCACCAGTATACCCCCACACAGTCCATTCTCAGTTTTGGTAAGTCCAAAAAGCAAATCAGAATCGGCAGCTTGTCCTAGATGTTAAACTGTTACTCGGGTATTACATTATTCAATTTATTGAATTAAATTAGAACTTGAGGGGCAGATGAAGGCAGTGTACATCCTCTGGGATGTATCACAGACCAGATTTTGCAATTCCATTTACTTGCAAGACAAAGCGAKGTCCACTTACTGACACTCAGTGTCTTCTATGAAAAACAGATAGGCAGGATATCTGAAATGACTTATAAGGTGGTCTTCATGCAATCTACTGAAAATGCCTAATTTGAGAAGCTGAATAAATCATATTTCTGTAACTCATGTAAAAGAAAAATGAGGAGTTAAGAAAGAGATAATAAAGAGAACATYTGCAAAAATAAGTATTTTTCATTATTCTACAGGCAAACATAGACATAAGAAATCCYCATCAATTTTTAACAACTTACAAATGTGTTGTATCCCACCCATGCACCAGATAGTCATAAAAGCTTGCAGAAGACATAAGGACAGTGGGAAAAGCAGGACTGCCAGAAGGGGAGCTGCTGGGACACAGCACAGGGTGTGCAGGCACTTGGTGCCCTCTCCTGGGCACGACAGACAGATCCTTGTTTAGCCAAATCAGAGCATGGCCACGGAGATGGGGTCTTCTGCACCTTAAACTAATTGCTCAGACAAATAAAAGTCACAGGTCAATCAGAGAGTTCACACATTTCCCAGAGAAGTACTCAGCTGTTCATTAAAATTCCTGACACAGCAGAGTGTTACATCACAACATTGTTTATTATGTAACTTTTTACAATACAAACAAAAATACAGAAATGCAGTATATGAATACAGCTAAATGCAAAATGGTGATGTTTTTATCGAGGCCATATTCCCATTTCTAGTAAAATAAAGAAAGACTGCACACAGGTAGAAACAGGTTGGTAGTTAACTCCACAATTTTGCCTAGAAATGACCTATAAATGCATTTTCCTGCTACTTACCATAAAATGTAAAAAGGGAGTTAAAGGAAAGTTTTACTCACTGGTTCCTACCATATGAAAGAAGCTATATTCTATTTAGGAGGGCCAATATATGGAAAAATATCTAAATTAAATGTTATTACAAAAAATGAAGCAGTAATGAGATCCTTCTGGCTAAAGAAGTTACTAAATGAGAATAGCATATATTTAAAGAATCCAAAACATAAAAGGGTTGTTATAAAAAGCTTAGGTGCACTGTAAGCTTAYAACTTTCGTTTTTCCATGTGTCCTTTTAAACAATGGAAGTGTCAAAAATAGGGTCAACTGTGTTAGACTAAATTACATTATTGTATATGCTGCACTGAATGGAATTCTTGTATTATAATAATAGAGAAGCATTGTTTGCATCATAKTATGGCAATTTATCCTCACTAAAAACCGTCTAGAGTCCTGCATTTTTTGATATCCTGTAAACCGTCAAACCACCAGAACATGATTGTACAACAGTAAAATGTTTTCTTTTGCATTAAAATGACACCTGTTTAAAAAAAATGAAAAAAGGTACTTAGAGCTGTTATTTTTCCAAGTACACAACACCCTAGACAAYTCAAGGCATCTCATTCTCCATCAAAATTAACAAAAATTTGTCATGCTGTTAAATCCATTACTATGGATACGACTGGTGCAAAATTGGTCTAACGGATCCAACAAACACTGATGTCCAGGCTGGCATATTGGCAACTAATACATAACTGGTGGTCAAAATGATGCATTTAAAATATCTTCCCTTTCTTCTTATTCTTTTCCAAAGTTCTAAAATGACATTAAAACAAAAAAAAAAAAAAAAAAAAAAAAAAAAAAAAAAAAAAAAAAAAAATATAAAAAAAAAAAAAAAAAAAAAAAAAATATAATAAAAAAAAAAAAAAAAAAAAAAAAAATTGTTAAATAACACATACATACTCTGATTTTTTTCTCAAAATTACTAATATACACCTTTTAAAACAGACATTTTAATAAGGCTGAACTGGTTGCACCACAATGGATGAAAATATGTACACAATAGATGAAACGGACTATGTATACAATACTTGCAACTGTTTGAATCAAGCAATTTGCAGTTATCACCAGACTTCCCTTTCAAAGGACTAAGGGAATTAAATATTTTAATTCTCAAAGCTTTAATTCTTAATCCCCCAAAAGTCTGATGCAGTCTAGCAATATAAACATATATTTTTTTAGATAAATATATTTATGTGTGGGTGCCATGTTTTTGCAGACTAAAATCTGCTTTAGAAGCTAATAATCTTCCAAACATTGCTGAAATATGGACCTTAGTAATTAAAAACAGTTCAAGATTTTTCTTGGCTTTTAACTGATAGTGGCCAATGACCATGGATGGGCCATTATTATCTCAGAAATCACCTTTCAGCAGAAAGCCACAGAACTTCTACCATGAACTGCATGTCAAGACTCCAACTTACCTGGAAGAATTCTGTTGCTCCAAAATACGTTGYTGAGCCTCCCAGTTTGCTTTCTCGTCCTCAAACTGACGACGYTTTTCCTCTAATTCTTTGTGCTGTGCCTCCAAATTCTTTTTCATTTGCTCATGGCGTCGCTGCAGCTGTAGATTACGAACAGAGTCAGTAAATGCAGAAAACACAGCAACTCTTGAAACTGTAATAAATATCAGCCATTAAACTTATCAATGCAACAAAATTATGTATAATATTTTTCTTCAGCTCAGATTAAAAACTCTAAGGTGGTAAGTACTGCCAATGCCTAATTTGAGAAGCTGAATAAAACAGAAACCAAAAGATTACTAATCCCGTAGCTTCATTTTACAGTTAACAGAAAATGCCCCAAAGTCTACCCAAGTTACAAATAGAATTTGTAAGCAGTTACATTTGGCAAATAAAAGGAAATGAAAAAAAAACAAAAACCAAAAACTTTGGTATTTGATGCAAACGTTAAACAGCAAATTGCAGAGYATTTGAGTATCACTAATGCATAAAAGAGCAACATCTTCAACTTTCTGTCAGGGATAAGATCCAAAACATTGATTTCATCCTATAGCATTAACTATATTGTGGAACTATTTGGGAAAAAAAATCCAGTGGATTAATTTATTCACTAATTAAATTAATTAGGATTCTTGAGAAAGTGAATTGTCTACATTCCAAAACAGAGTTAGAAGTCTCTCCTGCAAGTTGAAGGGACAGACTGACAATCAAATGTGTTATATGTGAGAATGGCAACACTTGTCAAGAAAAGTGATTCCTCTTCTGTGGTGTAACATTTTTTTAAAATGAGTTTAATCATACAATGGTTTGGCTKAGAAGGGACCTTAATCTAATTCCTCCTTTCCAGGCTAAGCAATTCCAATTCTCTCAGCCTCTGCTCCTACAAGAGGTCCTCCATCCCTCGCTTGTCTTGGTGGCMTCCTCTGGACTCTCTCCAACACATGGATGTCCTTCCTGTGCCAGGGACCCCAGAGCTGAAGGCAGCATTCCATGGGGTCTCACCACAGTGGAGTAAAGGGACAGCAGCACCTCCCTYGACCTGATTTCCATGCTTCAGAGAAAGTTAAATAAAACTTCCTCTTTTCTTACTCTGTTGCAASACCTCATTTTACACAAACCCTTGAAAATGTATTTCTTTTCACACATTTTTTACATGGCACAGTCTATTGCCTACTTTTCTACATTTAGATAAATACAATGGAAGTTTACAAAGCCATGAATGGTGAAGAAAAAAGAAGAAATAATTACAAGAACATTTAAAAACTGGTATGACAGGATATACTCAGTCAAAAAATCCTGAGACAGTACATGAAAACCAGAAATAATTTTGTTCATTTTCCACGTAACAGGGAGGATGTGGAGACCAGAAGTACAAAAGGGATCAGAAAGATWCAAGACAAAAATTGAGGAAGGATAAACCCAGTGACTAGAAAAACCATGATCCAGATTAAACATCTAGCTTTAAAATCCTCCAATTGCTGACTGATATATCTTAGTACTTATATCCCTATCTATTTAGCTCTCAAAAAAAATCTAGATTGATTTTTTTTCCTCTGATCCAGTTTGCCTTGGCTCCTTCACAGTGCCTTGGCTGCCAAGCATTTCAAATACCCTTACAAAAGTTTCCTCACTTTTCCTCAAATTTGGAGCCAAATTTTCCTTAGAATCTTTGACAATTCTGAACTTTTCTATTAGACTTCTTGAGAGAAACTACTTTCCTGAAACTTATAAAATTAGTTTTACTCAAACTTCTAATTATAGTAGYCCCTTAAAATGATCAGTTTCAGACCCCCTAGAAGCCTGTAAGAAACCAGTTTCACTGTGAGAACTTCACCTGGAAATGACAGAAATAAAAGTATCCACAAAATTTGTTCAAATGAGACCAGAACACTGACAAAAACATATCCCTGWCTCTTCCTTAGTCCAGTAATTCTCATTTAAATGATTTCCTACAGGCATTGTGTCCAATTCCTGAAATGCTTCTTCAATACACACAGCAAATTTTCATTACTGCACTAGCTTGTGTAAGCCATAAAAGTCTCAAGAACTTTTAAAAACATGGAAGAATAAGCACAAAATATTCAAAAGAAAAGGGAGAAAAACAGGGTAAGGAAGTTAAAGAATATTTTAACATGCTATGACTGAAAAAAAATAAAATGCATGTGAACATTAAAATTAAATTTTAAGTTCAGGCTTATACCATTTCAGCAAAGATAACAAGCTGGAAAAGAATGGTGTTGTCCTTACACATAAAAACCAACTATGGAATCAATTATGTTGTAAAGTCTTGGGAAAAAGTCCCATCTCTACACTTGCTCAGCCTCAAGTTATATTGGTGTTTAAAATACTTTGATTACCTCAGCTTCAGAGTCCTTCAGTTTCTGAACTTTTTCTTTGACTTTCATCTCAAACACCTGTTCCATTTCCATTTCCATTTTTTTCATTTTGGCTACATGCTCCCTCCTTTCCTCCTCCATCTGTGCCAACGGACTCCTGCCATAAATCCAGAAGAAGCAGTTAGGTAATAAGAACTTTKTTCCCTGTCTGTTACATTAGGGCATCTGGAAAAAGCAAGATAAAAATCCTGAAGCAGTAAGATAAATACATCACTGTAGGCACTGCTAGCTTAATTCAATTTGCATTATTACATTAACTGTTTAGATAAACTTTACTCAAAAAGACACTTCATACAATGTCTTTTCCTCCCCCACAATTGATTCACATTATATTTAGATTAACAGAAACTCTTGACTTTTTATCTGTAGAACCACCTGGTCACAGGAAGAAAGGAAATCAATGTTATAACAAGAAAAAGAAAATTAGCRTAGTCCAAGTGATCTTCAGGCATCTTTTTCTTCCCATTCAAATATATAAAARAATTAATGAACATAACAAGAAAATTAAGAGAACTACAGACTGAATTCCTACTTTCTCTCTAAATCTTCACTGCTTCAAGTGAGCCCAAGAGTCATTTAACATTTCAACTGTGTTGAATGCTCCATTCATAGTTTTGAAAAGAGATCAGCTTCAAAAAAAAGGTTTGGGCAACTAAACATCAGTATTTCAAAGTGTTAGGTGAAAGATTTTCCTTTAGAGAGCTATTAATAAATGTATAAAGTAATTAATAAATATTAATAAATAATAAAGTAATTAATAAGCTATTAATAATGTATAAAGTAATGTACTTTATTTTTATATACTGTATACTTTATTTTAATATACTGTATTTTTAATTTTTCCATACATTTATGCATAGGTATACTTTCCTGGATTCTACTGAATTTTCAAAGCTGTATAAGCCTGCTATCCATGTTACAGTGATAGGGGTTTTAAATAGTAAGTTTCAAATTAAGCATCTAATAAAACAGAATGATTGCGATCTAGTGATGATTGCTACACAGAATTTTGTTAAGACTGCTGTTCCACAAAGAGCAATCAAAACAAATCACTGGCCTTTTGTTTCAGTTTTGAGTATCTATGACTTCAAATGGCAAAGTTTTAACTATTGTGTTGGCAAAAATGAAGAACTGATTATATTTGGAATTATTACAATCAACCAGCAGAGGACATCTAATGTAATGTATGCAAAAATCACTCAGACCAGCAAATTRTAAAACAGTGATGGCAAGACAAGTCCTATTAAAAAAAAGATTTTTATTTTCATTTCTTAAAAAAAGAAAAAAAAAAACCAAGAAGGACAAAACCCCCAAAGAAACCCTGTTCTGATGTAGAAGAAGCATTCTGAAAGGAGAAAAGTATTGGCTAACTTTCAAWGATAAATGAAATACAATTAGCAGTATCTCTTTAGAGTCAGAATTTGCCACTCCTTCTGAAAGGAATGGAGATGACATTCAAACATAATTAAGATCTAGTTTGACCATTATTGGCTCATTTTATCTTTCCTGATCACCAATTTTCACCATCTAACCATAGAGTGAAAGCAAACAACTGTCATACAAACTCATAGCCATATTAATTTTTCTCTGAAATATCAATGTTTTAAAGCTAACAACTGCTGGGAGGGGGCAAGGAGGAAGAAAATGGCATTTCCATTTAAAAAAAAAATAAACTAAATCTGAATTACTAGTTGCAACAAATATATAGAACTGAAACTGATCTTCAGTTTAACTTTTACTTCAGTCCTTCAAAAGGTCAACTGTTAGCAACCTTTTTCAAGAAAAAAATTAATGGTTAAACACAGGTGAGGGACAATAATACACAAAAATACTAAACAAGTGAAAGAGGAGGTGAGTAGCAGTACTTGTGGAAGCTAAGCAGYTGTCAAAACGAGACTATTTTCTTTTAGAAATGTAAAGTTCTCAAATGCATCTGCTCTTCAAAAATTAACTACAAAATAGAATAAATACTGAGGAATCATTGGTGCAGTTTTAACTTGAAAGGGGAACAGAACTGTCCTTTCATTGACAACTTAGTAATCCACTGGGGATTTCATTCAAACTGTATTTGAGAAAGTGGTAAAAATCTGTCTACATAGAAAATTTGATAAACTCACAAGTGAGCATTTACAGCTGAGAGCTTTACAATACAGGTTACAACTGGTTTTGTTAGGTCCTAAGTATGTGACACGGGTAAAAGCACACCACCCTGTATTTCAGGACAAAATTATACAAGGGACTTAAACAAAAACAAAAAACGCAACGAAAAAAAAAGAGCTGAAGGGAAAAAAAAAAACCACAAACCACTAAACAAAGACATAAAACATTTAATTGATTTCAGAGGACATGTGATCTAATAACAGTCCTCTAAGTTATTCTGCAAAAATTAAAAATTATTCCACTTTGCACACATCTAGAATCTCTGCAAGTAGGTGGTAAGATCAAATCACAGTCAGAAATTCTTAAAGTTAATAAATCCCCAATTCAATGAAGAATTGTAAATTTACAGGTAAGGATGAAAATTCCACCAATTCTTTATAAGCATCTATATAAAGATTACTGAGCTATGGATAGAAACTGGGGGAATTCCACAATTTATCAACTTCTACTGATTTTTGAAATTTGACCAAATTTGACTTAAATCTTAGCCAAAAGATTTTTAAAGAGGATGGGTTTTTACAGAGATATTTGTCACTGTAAGCGTTTGTAAATTCCTAAAATTTACAGTAGCACAGCTTTAGGAGGGAAAAAAAAAACAAACCAACTGCTAGGGGAAAAAGCAATGCCAAGAGTGGGATACCAGGAAGCTGCTTTAAATTTGAAACATCAAACAGTGAAATCCTTTTTTTGTTTATAGAATTTTTGTTTTAAGTTTTTTGGAAAAATTTAAATGACCACTTACATGCCTTCAACTGTGTCAAATCTAAAAAACAAAAAATACAGAGGCTTAGCTTAGCATGCTTAAATAAAACCACAAAACCAAAAAGCAATAATTWAAAAAGTAAATTCAATATTAATAGATTCCTAAAGCTAATTATGTGCTCTCCCAAAAGCAATTTTTCATACTAAAAGAAAAAAATTGTTAGTTAAAGCTTGTTATACTTATTTCAAATTCAGTTCGTTAATCACTACACCATGTCAATATTAACACAGGTTTGATGTGCAGATGCTTTCAGGAATAGCTCTCCTAGACCATCTATGCTTTAAAAGAGATTTAAAATATTAGTGACATGAACCACCACTTGYTCTAAACAAATTTTCGGAAACCAATGGCACCTGGAGGCTTATCTCCTCGTTGAGAATTTGTCAGCTAGCGGAGGGCAGTGCATTGCACGCCCGGGAATGTCGCGGCGCTGCAGGAGCGCACTTGGCTCCCCCGGCCGGCAGAGGTCTCGGGCTGCGGTGTCACCTCCCCCGGGCACCGCGACGCTTCACCCAGCGCCACTCGGCTCGAACGCCAAAGGGAGGGAAAAGCAAACTCTGATCTGCCATCCTGTCATATGGGCTGCACGACCTTAGAGCCACTTCACAAAATTCGCCAAGACTACAGGCAAAAGAGGTGGAAGCAGGCCGGGTTTAGCAGGCAGAAGCCTTGAGCACTGTGTATTTTGTTACAGGGTACTGAACAGATCAGTAAATGGGTAAGGCCCATCTTTATTATGTACAATATGACTTTCAATAAAAATAAGATTTTACTTTTAAATTCACTGAAGATAGCAGCTTCATACAGCAAACCCAAAAGATGTAAATTAAATTAAAATTAAATTAAAATTTAAATTAAATTCTTAAATTACAACTTCTAAAATTGAGAGCAAAGCCCATTTTTTCATGCCACATAGTACACATGTGAAATCACAATTACCCCACAGTTTAAAGAGACAAAGTTATCTACCTTTGTGAAGACTACCCCTGACATTTTATTTTATTATTTTAATGTTAGGGATAATATTGAAAATTTGAAAAAYCTAAACCTAAAATACAAAAAAATCTCCATAACCGTGGAACATACATGCTTTGGATTGCTCTTAGGTTAACAAGTTATTCACAGAACAGTCAGGTTTCACTGCATCAAAGGAGACAAATCAGAGATAAAATTATAAACCGGACAGAAAAGAAACTGTTTCAATTCATCTGCACAGTATTATTAAAGCTCATAGCACATACTGCTATTTGTTTTCATATTTGCATTTTTGTCCAAGGAAATATGTTAACAGCTGCATGAAAAACTGAGATCTGCTAAGATCATAAAATACAGCTGTTTTAAAGGTACAAAAGGTCAATCCAGCCTCCAACAGCTGCCAGCAGGAGATACTTCTGGAAAAATACAAGTACCACTGCATGTCTCCTGGTATGTCTGCCCTCCAAGTTTCCAAAAAAACAGCAGCTTAGGAGTTTCCAGAGCCAGGGGGTTTATCTATGTTCACCCATATGCTTGTAACACCACCAGACAGCAACAGGGCATGTCTCCATTCTCATACAGAGATACAGGATCTGTCTCTGATGAAAGAATTGGTATTGMCCCATTTTAAGACACAGACACTTCTTTCAAAAGGCAAGCAGGTAAGCATAAAATTCCTAAGGGGAGGCACAGATAAAYTGTTAGAATCTGTTCATTCCCCTCAATTTCCAGGAGGCACACTGTTATTAGGAAAATTCCTTCTCTGTGGCTTCAACTATACTAGATCAAAAAACCAAAAGTTACAAAAGCATACAGAAGCTAAAAAAAGCATGTTAAAGTTTAAAAAAAAAAATGCTGCAACTCAACATACAGTTAATGTAAAAACAAAAGAACAGAATCAGCTGCTTCATAACCAGCACATGCATTAAAGAACTTCATGCATTTACTTGTTAAGTGACCCTGTTCTGGGGAACACACTCTTACAAAACGTTCAAAATACTCCTTGTAAATTTGCAATATACTGTGCCATCTTTCAGATGGTTGAATCAAACTAAGTGCAATAATTTACCCATTCTCTTGAAAAAAAAAAAAAAAAAAAAAAAACAAAAAAACCCAAACCCTGAAAGCAAAGATCACTGTTTGTGTTCACTAATCTCCAAGCTGCAGTACTGCAGCATTCTGAGCAACAGATTTCCAGTGGAGAAAATAGTTCCAGAAGGCACATTCACCTGGAAATATTCAGGTGAGACAGCACAGTGATCCAAAGTGACAGGAGATGCAAAGTAAGCATGCTTCAGAAAGCAAAGTAATTCCAGATCCTCTTAGTGTAGGTTCTGGCTCAAAAAGAAGTATCAGCAATGCTATCAGCAACTGACTGGGTGGAGGGGTAAACGAAGGTCACAGAATTTTGACACCTACTCACAGATGCATTTTTGTATAAAATGACATCTTATTGTGTCTGCAGTAAGGGAATAAAAAATAATTTTAAACAGACCCTCAGTTGTTATTTTTAAGAATGCAGAATAACCAGTCCTTACTTGGATGAAGTAACAGACTGAGTTTGTAGGTGCAGACTAACACAAATCTAAGTAGGCACACAACAAAAAAAGGTGAAAGTGTTGTCACTAAAATTCACAWTTTTCAAAATCTAAGGAAAACATACTAAGAATCTGAAAGGTATACAAGAAATCCCAGTATTTAACAACACATGCAGAAAAATATAAACAAATTCCTTTGATATCCCAAATAACAATGGGGGGGAAAAAGTTAAACTTTTCAGTACAGTAATAGCAAATAACAAGTACAGTAAAATGCATAGTAATAGCAAGTTACAAGCCCTGGAGGAAATGGAGAATTTTCTCTTCTGCACTACTATTACATTTTTACCTATGTGCACTTGGAAGTCTTGAGATATGAGTCAGGGATAACGTGATGGCAAGAAACATGACAGTGAGAAGAAGTAACCACAGTGTTATGGACACACAGATTTGAAAACTGRTATTTTTAAGACTTGACCTCATTAGAAACTCTACTCAAATTCAAGTACACTTCAGAAGAGTTGCTGTAAGTGACATAAACTATTATATTTTTTGTCAGTGCTGAGCAGGGAAGTCTCTAGTAGTCTCACACTAGATGAAACTAAATCATGTCCACTTAAATCATTCCCTCAAAGCCACTTTCAAAGCATTAAGAGAGTGTAGAATAGACACGTCTTTAGTGAAAAATGGTTTTGTAGCTGTCATATGGATGAAAATAGCAGGCATTTCCAACTAATTTCAGGGATCTTTTTCAGGAAGAACAGCTGCAATATTAGGTGAAAAGAATAGTACCCTATATTTTGATTGAGAAATTTGTATTTAAATATAGTATAAAAATAAGAGCATCACTAATTATCAATAATTTAATAATTAATTACTGCTGATGCAGTTACTACATGCTGATGCAGTTACTACATGCAGAGCAGGAAAAGTATTTGAGTGTAGCTATTCTCAAATAGCATTATATTGCTCAGAACACAGTAGTGCCTACTTTTAAATCTTTCAATAACTTCATCTCATTGGAAAATAACTTATTGTCAGAGGTAATAAAAATGACATATCAGAGTTTGAAAAAACAGCTACAAAAGCCTCCAAACATTGAACTGCAACTCACTTCTCCCAAAATATAATGACGTTGCAATAATTTCCCTGCTACAATAAGCAACCACATGAGTAGCCAGAGCATCATTTCAAAGACAACAGTAGCAGGTCTGCATCTCAGAGTTTCTAAACAAATAATAATCCATTCTTCTCAAAAACACCCCCAACACAGAGTATTGATCATTCACACAAAAGAACCCATCATCCCAAAAGTAACATATAAACCAAAAACACTAATACACAGAAACTTTGCAGTACCTGTGAAACAAAACTCAAAGAGTAAATGGAAGGATTCTCTTCAAAACTGACTCAAACTAAATCCAAAYTATTTAACATGTTCAATTGAACTAGCATAAATCTTAGTGAAAGAGGAAAAAACCCCAAATTACAAGTAAACAAGAGGCATATAGTTTCAGACACAACAAAGAGACAACTAAYTGAAGGCTATATACTTACAAACCCACCAGCACCTCTCCCGAAAAAACCCAAAACCAAAAACACCACCACACATTCACAAAACCAATCAACCTAAAACAGGAGAGTAAAAAGACTGAAGTGCAATACAGCCTTAGCAGTAACTTACTTTGTTAGCTGCCCTTTATTTTTGTTGTTGTCAACACCGTTGTATGTAACAGCTGCCAGTTTTCTGCTTCTGTAGTTCTCATAATGTACATTGTTAGTGACATCCTTCAGATCCTGCATATGAGTTCTGTCAATAAGTGTAATTTACCATCTTAGTGAACAAATACAAAATACAATCTGAAAAATCAGTCCATGTTCATTTTGCAGAYTGACTTGAATTACATTATATCCCTCCATTAAAGTCCTATTCTCCACAATGTTTTCACTCTACCATTTAAATCAGAGCTGCCAAGACAGCAAAGGCACAGAAATACCAGATTATTTTGCACTGAACTGTCTAAAGCTTGCAGTATTACAAACACTAACTCAGAGGGCCAGTCTTTGAAAAGTTTGAGTTCTGTGGATAGATATGCACATATTTGATAGGCAGATAAGTGAACTCTATATTACTACTAGGTAAGAAAAAGCCAAGTCAGGCAAGAAGCAACCAGCCAAAACTTCCTAGTTTCTACCTTTTAATTCTACAAAAGCTAAACATAAAGTTCAAGATTAAGCTACAAGCATTAGCTTCTTTTCAGAATTTTCCATAGTCAGCCTGGAGAAAAGCAAAGCTTAGTAATCAAACTAACAGTTGTTACAGCAGATGTCACCTAGTGGAGTGCAGGGAACACAGGACTTAGTGCCTAACACAACAAAGCACAGGCAGTCTTGCTTTAGATAMATTTTCAGTGCTAAAGCTTTTAGAAAAGGCCTACAACTAAGTACACATCAGCACTAACACACAGCTCAGGTTCCTATGGTCTATCACAATTTTCCACAGCAAGTAATCTCAACACCACCACTTGCTAAACATGTGATTAACAAGCTATCATAAAATGTAAGATAACTGTTTACAATTAAAAATATAGGAGCTCATATGAACTCACTATTTCAAATTTTTTTCTCCAATATGACTTGCCAATCTTTCAGGCATACCAGAAAATTTAATATTACCTGTCAACTAGTTACTTACCTTATCAACATGTTCCTCAGAATTGTGAAGTCACAGTGTTCACCRTTTTCAACTGCAAGAAAAAGTAAGCTTTTGTTGAGATGTCAACCAAAATCTGTGCCTTACACAGAGGTAAGATGTCATCCATCTACATTCATTCCAAGAACAGATTACTTCCAGCCTTTCCTTACTCAAACAACATGTGTGTTAACAGAAGGAAAGCATTAACAAYGTAACTATATTAGTGTGTCTTTCTAACAGAGCTTCTATGCTCCCCGAAGCCATACTGGCAAACTGTGCTCTGAGTCAGTGCAGCAGAATAAGCTACAACAGAAACACAGTTCTGCCAGTTTAACTGTTTGATCCTTTGGATGCCTGCTAGCACAGTTATGTAAGGATCAGACACTAAGTGAAGACCACAGTCTAGATCCAGCTAYATCCAAAAACCTTTAAAAGACAGAYTCGACCTTGTTTCTCCCTGCCCAGTAAGTTACACAATCTTAATTTTAATATGGATTTTGTTCTTTATTAATGAAGCAAAGGAAGGCTGTGTACTAAATTYGATGCACCTACCTACAGATCAAGARAGAACTGGCAGCACATCATTAGATGCCACCTATTCCACTGTGCCTATYATCCCACTAGTGTAGAAGAGGCTGATGCTGTGAGTGGCATTACCCTGAGAGATCATGAAATGACACTGGAGAAAAATGCACACTCCATAACTCCCTGGTGTGCAGACAGAGAAGGCAACACACAAAGCTCTTAGCGCACACGAAAGAAAGGCACAGGGCAGGTTCATATGCGCCTCTGAAGTAAAGACAGACATTTTCATGGGAAGGAGGGAAAAAAGAGGATGAAGGAATTAAAAAAGCCCAAATAAATTCAGCGAATCCTACAGAAAAATGCATAACATTGCCACTTTGTGTGTTCATTTTATTATCTGCACTCCTSCATTATTTTATTCCATCATTTGAAGAGACTGGTAAATTCCGCTCAGATGGTGCATGAAGTCATACTCTCAAAAAAGAATCATCTCTGTCCTTAGCTGACAGACTGAAAGCCACTCCAAAAGGTTCCTTGGTTAGCTAGCTCTTCCCTTCTAAAAGTCAGAAAATTGTGAACATGAAACCTTTCAGAAATTTGTTTTAAAATAAAGAAAACAGCACCATTTTGCACATCTCCAAATGCCAACACAAGAGCCTTAAAAAAAGCTTGATCCTCTCTGATGCAGCTGGTTTTAACTTTCTGCCAAACCTCATTTCCTGCCAGACATGCACTTCAAAGTGTTACAGCATTCCTTTTTAAAGTATTGGTCCATACACTGCTTGTTGGCTGGTGCTTTTTTGTCTGTTTTACACTGCATCCAATTTACAGTCCATTGCCCTTGGAAGGCAGAAAGAGTGAGGAAAAAAATATTCTCTTTATTCAATACATGCACACCAAAGGAAAAACCTCAATGATCATGRAAAACAGTCTAATGATGATTGTTTTACTACAGAGCATGGTGCAAGTCAGGCYATGTGCCACTTGAAATATATGAATGGCATTAAAGCACAAGAAATGGTTGTCAGAAGAACAGGCAGTTATCTTCTAGTTTCTATAGCAGTAGAAAGCAAGTTTTAAACAAATTTTTAAAATTTGAAAAAAAAGAAAGAAGAAAAAGGTACTCTATTATCAGGTACCTTTCTGCTGCTACACCCCAGCACTTAAGATTCAGATGTTTCAGGAAAAACTGAATTTATGACAATTTAACTGAACAAATTAACATTTATAATGTGAATATTCTAGAAGAAGATTTTAATACACAGGTTTTAGATGAATTAAGGTAAAAAAAATCTAGAAAACAACTGTAATTTAAGTCACATCATTACCTGCAGTAAGTTAGTACAGGTTTTATAATTTCTCACTGAGAAATCTGCTTGCAAACAGAAATCTGCTTGCAAAGCTACATGCTGCCGAAACCTTTACCTTGTTCCAGTATTGTCAGAATAACAGAACAGTATATTCCATTAATTTCCAGACCAAAGATCATTCAAATTAAGCATTTCAAACATTTCAAATACAGACTCATGTCTAGTAAGTTTTAAATGGAYTTAAAAAAATCACCAGAAAGTCTTACCTTCTGCAACACCCCATGGGTACTGCCTTCCTCTAACTCTCTTGCCATTGACTTCAATGATCGTATTACTACCTACCACAGCAAGAGGTAAACGGTCCTACAAGATAAAAGTATGACTTTAAAAATCAAAATCTACTGTCAAAAGATACTGAAAGCATGCCCATCTATCAACTCAAGGCAAGCTGGGTCAGCGCAGTAACACTGCAATGCAGCTAACCCGAAAGTGCAGGAATAGTGATGTTTATTGACCTCTGCCTAGTTCAATGACTTATATATAYACACACTCCTGAATTCCTCATGCTGCTGGATTCTGTAAATCTWCTTAAGAAACAGACTGTTACTTAGTAAGCTAAGCAAGAGGCAAACCATTTCCTATTTACTCAGTTGCACAATTATTTACCAGTTCATATTCCCACTGGCTACAAGGACTGTTACTTTGACTGGATCTTGTATCCAATTTTCAAAGGTTTGGCAAAGAACTACATGAAGTTCTTGTTTTSAGCTGAGCTGAGAATGCCTCCAGTGTAACAAGCAACAAAGGAGCCAAGAGCAGCTTAAAGGGGCTGAAAGGGACAGAGGACAAAGCTAAGAAKTTTGCACTTTTGTCTTTGCTTTTATTCTGCTCTTCTCTAGACTCAGTCCCAGAAACTCTTCCACTTTTTGTGCTATTTTTGTTTATCTATCCTAAGAGATTTCCCCAGTACCAAAAGAATTTAAAAGCTCTTACAATCTGTTAAAGCTACTGAACAAACAGAAGCAAGGCTCAAGAAATATATACAACATGGACTCCAACATGAAAGAACAAACTGAAAACATGAGTAAACTAAGAAAAAGCCTTTCAACAGCCTGACAGTCCTTTTGATTTTCTTTAGTCATACATCTCCATTAAGGTTTCAGTATATCAATCAGCCAGAGAGCTATTAGCTGTAATGCACACACTTCATGCCACTGTACACCAATATCTGAAAGACAACCCTTGCCTCCTTCAAAGCTAAGAATCAAAAAAAAAAAAAAAATAGTGGCAAGATGCGGATGGCTGACAGAAGTCAAATAAGAATGACTTTTAAAAAGTGATCTTTAGGAGTTCATTAAATGAACATGTGATCTAGTGTTCTCATTTTGAATTTTAGCCACTGAAGGATTTARATGATCTAATAATGGTATTCATTGCTTCTGATAAAAGAACAGTAACCCTTAGGAGAGCGTTACATTTGATTTCTGTCTTCTAAACATTTTTGTGGGCTCCTCATTAATGACAGAACCTTTTTCAAACTCAACCCCCCATAATAAGCACTTTTTCAAAGAAATTAGTTTACCTTTATCTTTTTAACAATCTTATTTTCTTCTTCATCATCTGTTTCTGGAAATTCATATATTTTAATTTTGTGTTCTTGGATTTCTTTCATTATCTRGAAACAAAATTATTATTTGAGAATTTCATACTTTTTAACAGCTTGATTTTTTTGCTGCAATCTGATTCTCTTTTTGTTAGATATGTAAAATAATTTCAATTAAGGTGACTTAAATTACAACACAAAACCTGAACACGTTTAACACCCTCAGGTGACCCCAAGCGGTTCATAGCATGACCATCTCCCCTTAGCCAGGGGAAGACACAGCACTAGAGCCTCCCAGCAACCAGAATATTATCCACCAATACAAAGCAGCAAAAATTAATACTGGTTTTCTACAATAGGACAAACAATTCCTAATGGGAATTCTATCTGCATAGAATTAGGTGCAAAACCTAGTACAACACAAATTCTCAGAGTAGTCTCACAAATGAGTCCCTTGAAAAAAGGAAATATTTGAATGATTATCACAGGCAGACTTTATCCCATTGAGTTCCCGCAATAGCAACTGCTGTCACTCCTTTTCTGTTTCTAGCACATCTGAGCATCAGTTGCTTGAAGCAGGACCACYTGTCTATTTTAACAGAGCTTATGACTGATGGACTAACTCTAGCAGTTATTGGTGTTGAAAAACATTTGCAAGCACTAATGAAAATTTCAGAATAACTAAGAGCGTCATCAAAAAAGTGACTGTACTATTTTGATACTCTATTTGTCTGAAGGGTATTTTTAAAAACAAGCTGATTGGTTTYGCAGAATTAGAAAGGAAAAATATTAGACCATTTAGCTGACAGCTGCATTGCAGAGCCCTAGGGAATACTTGTGGCTCATGGGTTTGCAGTCTTAAGAGAACTTAGGTTTCCAAATCGTGCAAGGACTTGTTTTCAAAGTTTGGTTTGGGAAAGTCTCCCCTGTTTAACATCTGCTCATTGATAAAGGTGCTTAAATATTTAGAAATATTTTGTGTTCTTCCATTTTTTTCCTTTTGTTTTGTAATCTATTTTTTAATCTAATCTAATTAAGTCAAGAGTTTACACACAACACCTCTTAATGCCACCTTCTTTTCAGAACTCTGTGTTCTTCTAAACTAGGACTGGACAGAGTTCAATAAAATAAACTGCGTGTCTTGTCTTGTTCTGGGTCTTCCTTGTTCTCTTCATACAATACTATAAAGCTTAACTGTTCTACTCTGAGTATCTGAAAATAAAACATAAACCACATGTAGACACTCACAGCAAATAAATTCTACAAATACAAAGACATCATATCAGTTGTATCAATGCTAGAATTATCAAACCTTCTTTAAAATGCATTACCACAYCCAAACAGGTTTATTGATACTCATCTAATAACTGAGGTATCTTTAAAAAATACAGTGTGAACACCACAATGCAATCAATAACACAGTGATACTTTTAAATACCTTCTAACACTTCTGTTAGGCACCTAAATCTTGAAAGTTTCTTTCCTCCCTTACTGATTTTTATCTCAGCAGTGAATTATTTCACTTGCCAAGAAACATACTATACTTGAAACCTCTTCCCCTGAGGACAGAAACAAGATTATTTCACCAAGGATTATAATTAAATCTAGAGATATAAATTACTTAGTTTTGCTGTCTCAATTTATTGCTTCAGGGTTTAAACTTTGCATATAAGTTAAATCTCACCATTTCCACAGGGATCAACTTACTAAATTATMCTGTGTTGTAAATATTAATTTTTCAACTCACCTGTTTTTTAAATTGTTGGCATTCCTCGGGTGTAAGTGTGTCTGCTTTGGCAATAAGTGGAATGATATTCACTTTTTCATGCAGGCGCTTCATAAACTCTATATCCAGAGGCTTAAGTCTGAAATACAGCATTAGAACTTTGCAATTTATATTAATTAAACAAGATAGTACAAATGATTAAATTTGTYCTGACAACTACTCTTAAGGCACTGATTTATGAGTGACAGATGACTGGATAAGAAAAGGCTACCTGCAACTATTACAGGAAATCCCCTAAATTGTATAACACAAGAGGAACAAGTAGTAAGTTAATATTACTAGCAGTAATGAGACCTCTGCTAGCTGAAATTACACTTATTTAAGCAAGTGATMAGAACTCTCCTATGAAGGTAGTAAAGTTTGCATTATTAGCTGGAAGATAATCACACTKAAAGCCTGACTGATAAAGAGTTCACAGTTGTGAATTATGCTCTTTTCACACACACAGGTTGCAGGTTTCTGAAAGACATGTTTGTATGCTTCTKCTTAAGAGTGGGCTAGRAGACTTTTTTTTTAAGACCTTAAGATTGCTTCAGATGGTAACCTCTGTGCACAAATGAACTAGAAGCATCTCTAAATCACTATGTAAAACAAAATGACAGTTATGAAAGTGGATAACAGAGACAAAAAATAAACCACCATATGGGCAYTGCGTGGGTGGATGGTAGTACATGCACCACCTATGCGAGTAAAATTGGTCAGTATTTCCTGTTTCCTGAAGTTAAACTAGAGAGGTTTTGATGCATTAATACTTCAGAATTATAGCMAGTTTAGTCAGGCTTAAAGGATTCACTTCAAGGGTTTAACAAGATTATTCTTCATATAAAAGAAATTAGTATTAGGAACATTAAAACCAGAATCACTTGGAACCAAAATTTCTGAAAACCGTACTTAAAAGAAGGCAGAAAATAGTCAAAAACATGCACTTCGTTTTTAACATTTTCTGCTTGTCACTGAATTTTACCAGTTCTCAGCATGTTTCCATTAAATAGCTAACATTAAAGGACATCTATATTATAAGCACTCTTTCGGTTATCCATTCACCTTAATATGCTTTCCCTCCACTTGCTTCAAAAGCCATCTAGGGCAGCATCACTGGATTGAAGGGCAGCTGCCAAAGCACAGCTGTTCAAACCTAAGTACTCGAGAGTTTACAGTGGAGACTGAAGCAGTAAAGTTTTACATAGAGATTCCAGAACTGCATAAAGATGGTGAATTCCATCATTACCCCATTCACTTACCTAGAAGACTCCTCCTGCCCCTCCACTCTCTCCTCCTACTCCCTCAGAAACCAATTCAATCAGTTCAGGTGTTTACAGGAATAACAACTAAATACAGTGGGATGCATTAAATGTAAGGACTTAAACTGCCATTTCTTTTTATCCCTAAATTTCTAAAGCAGGCTTTTACAAACCTGTTAAAAGGAAAAGTAGAAGTTCACCCACAAATGCTATAATTCAATGTAAATATAATTATGCATTAAGAGTGAAGAGGACACTACTTGGTGGGTTAGATGTGCTGCTGTCTGCACAGGAAATAGGAGCAAAGACTGCATCACCACAAATACCAGATAGGAAGTGAGCTCTGTCCTTTCTGAGAGGGCAGCATTTTAAAAAAGGAAATGAATGCTAAAAGCAGCACCAATTTTCATCATTAACTTCCTTACTCAGATGACAATCCTAAGCATTTATTCCAATAATTGAAAAACAGTATGCAAACCTAGCATAATTTTACACCTTTTTCTCCCCTAAAAATAACATTAAATATTTGCAAAAGGAATATACTTTAACAGCTTTTAGCCTCAGAAATTTAGTGACCAAAACTGAATTTTTCAGAAACAATACCTTTCTTTTTCCTTCTGAACAATTTGTATGTCCCACTGATTTAGGAAGTTCTAACAGATAAGAAGGTGTGGAGGGAAGATATATTTTTTAAGAAAATGAGCTCAAAAATGATTGTTTAACACCAGGAATGCTCTTCTCTTTATTTAAATTAGATTTTTGATTTTGCACACTAGTAAAACAATATGTCAAGAATTCAAGTGTTTGCATTTAAAACTGACATGCATGTTGAGCAAAACTGGTGTTGTATACATGCATGTTGAACAACAACAAAATACTTAATARAGGCAAGTCTACAAAAGGAAAACTCCACCCTCTGATATTTCTTTCCATATTTGGAAGTATTCGTACAGTTCAGAATTATTAGACCCATTCCAATGCTAGCTACAGAAACTAAGGGTAATAGCTGGCATTTTTTACTGCCTGAGGAATACYCTTCAAATTCCTTCATCACTGCCTTCAGCAAGTTTTAACTAYTTTTGACCTATACAATAGAATAGGCTTATATTTATCTTCGTCTCCTTCTGGTTTTGAAGATATAGCTCAGGAGTCTCTGACAAAATTAATTGGTTWTAATACCATGACAAAATGCTAAGCAACCAGTTTCAGATAGACAATCTGTACCCTAATAGCCTGGAAATGCAGTTCTCCCTCTCTACCACTAGATAGAAGTCTGATCAAGTTAAAAACTAAGCAGGAGTGAAAGGCAACATAATAACCAAAAAAAATCCGCAATGCCTATAAACTGGGATTGTCAATAGACAAAATATTACATGCCAAATTAATTAAAGCATGTTTACAAGGATGCATGAAACTTCTTGTYTTCAATTTAACATTAAAGGGAGGAAAAATGGAAAGTAAAAATCCTGTTGCTTGACATGTGAACCAGTTACTCCTTCTAATGAATTGGTAAAGACACAAATAGATCACAAATAGACCTGGCATTTTTGAATGTCTTTTTATTTTTCATTGCTAGAATTCTATTTTTCTTGTTATGCAATCAATGTGCCATCATGTTTTCTGGTGTTTGGCTTGCTAATGTTTGACAASCCAAAGTCAACTCTCCTTGAAATTGAGCATGATCTGCAGGCCACTAAGAAAATCCTATTTGGAACTTACATAAATATCCAAATTTGTCAATCTGAGATAAAAGACAGAGAAAGAAAACACAAAATACACTAATACAAACCCATGTCCTGAAGGAGCAATGAAGTATAAACAACACTGCACTCTATTATCTGGCATCTGGCGTCTGTTCACTCGWGATTCTGCATTCAGGTAGTCCTCAAATTTACTGTCAATGTAGTCGATAACCGGCTGCCAGCTGCAGAGATTACATGAATAAAATCCCATAAATTATATTATTTACGTAAAGAAAACTGGTTTTGCTAAGAYATAGRTGTTCACAATATCCTCACGGCTTYGGGTTGTTTTGCTTTYAATTTGCTTTTTTAAAAATTAAGACTTCAACACTGCAATTTTAGAGACCAACTCCTCAATTTAAAATTGAGTTACATAGTTTTGAAGATACAATGTGTGAGTCCACTGAAAAAACCTTTCAAACACAGTCACCTTCACTGTAAAAGAATTAAACAGAATACTTAAGAACAAAAGCCAAAGGAATATGCTTCACTGATTATATCTTGTGACTGCACAGAAGATATTTCTTCACACTGCATGTGTGGATAAAGAGCCAAATGCACCATTCAGTTTAAGGGGGAAAGCTGACAGCATTTCAATCAAGCTATAAAAATATTTGGAATTACAGCAGTTAGAAGTTTTCAGCTAAATGAGAAATTTAAAAGTGTTAATATTTCAACTGACTACTGAAGCCCGCATTTTAAAATAAGTCACAAGGTACATCTCATAGACACACACAAAGTGCAATTCAGAATTATCATGAGAGAATATACAAAGAAAAGTCTTACCAATTACTATTATCCACAGCATCTCCAAATCCTGGTGTGTCAACTATCGTAAGTAGTAACTGAACACCACCTTCTTTGATTAAAACTTTTGACTGCTCAACCTGTAAAAYGAAAAAGGTAAGGTTACATTTTTAGCAATTTAATCACCTATCTGAAAAAATGGGAAAATCATTCAATGAATAAGAAGTCTGATAAAGAGCTGCTGACTTTTCTGCTTCAGAGGTACATTGTGTCTGTTTACTTATAAAATCCCAATAATTTAATAGTAATTAATATTTTTAAGTCATTATTTAAATTAAGTCAGTGATGTAAGAACCCTCTAAGTATATGGGACATTTTAATATTTTAATTCCTGGTTAAAAAGGAAAAACCTTAACGAAGCATTAAACTTCATGAAGTTTCAAACTTTGGTCACTTCAAAGAAAATTACACTTTCCAAAACTATTCCTGCCCACAATCACCTTAGACATTTCTAATCCTGTTTATATATATTTTAAGAATAATTTGTTCTTCTGCWAGCATAATGGTTGGGAATGGAATCACAAAGTGATGGTTTCCTGTTACAAACAGAATTATATTGGAAAGTAATACCATCTGGCTGCAGTCTGCTGAGCCAGACCTCATGTGACTGTAATGGATTGGGTTCCTGTTAGCTCAGGTCACTGATGGAAAGCCATCTCAGAAGGCAACTGCATCAGCACAAGGAATGATGCAAGATCTGGGCGTGGGAATTCATGCCTCCAGTTGTGACCACCCATCCGCAGCTCAGCTCAGGCAGGTTGCAGTGAATATGTGTCATCGAGGAGATTAAGCATGTCATGACAGAGAAGATCTAGGCTAAGCACCACACGGACTGCTACCCCCGTCTTGCTACTAATATCTCAGTAATTACTGATATTGCCAGCGTCAGCTCCATTTGCCTGGGAAAGTCCTGCACACCAGTGTCCTATCAGTGAGACACACAGCAGTATGGAATGACAAACTCATGTTGGCTTCTTTCCAATTGCTCAGACACTTAATCATCATTTTTGTCCTGATATTAAAACAATTCCTATTAAATCACTAGTGACACTGTTTTCTAGACACAGACTTGAGAAATCAAGCATGCAAGCCATTTATTCAGAACCACACAAGAATTGGCAGACTCGAGGTGACGTCACCTTGTTGCTCATTGCTTAAACACTCCTTAACCCTCTCAAACCCTAACTGGGGAGAGAAAACAAAGTTCTATTTATAATCAACCCTATCTGGATGGTCTCTTGACCCATTCAAGATTTGACAAAGATATTAATGCTTCTTAAGCTCTTGCACCTCCCTAATTGTTACTTAAGCGAAACAGACTCTCACAGCCACACCTGAACATTGTTGCAAACACTCTGTAATCACTGCTTATGTGATGCAATGTAAATCCGTAAGATAAATTAATGCTGCAGAAAGTCAAACTAAATCCCTCTTGTACAAGCAAAACCCTGATTTCAATTCAGAAGAGGATGTACAGAATCAGTACAGAAAACAGTAACTACCTACAAAGAAAGCTTCATATTTAACCTCTGAGTATGCAGGACGTAACTTTTATCTACTCACCAGTACGATCCTACCCATTCACTGCTAATTCTCAGAGAGTTAACATCTACCAGGATGCTAATCACAGAAGTATCCAGGTTGGGCTGGACTTCAAGACCACTCAATTCAAACTTCTACTTGAACCAGCCTTACTGCAAGGTTAGGAAAGTGTAAAAAAAGCAGGAACTAAAAACAATCAAGCAAACAAAACTCTACACACAGCAGTCTAAGCCACCACCAAGTTACTCTYTTACAAAGTACTCAACTCTCATCCTTCCAGAAGTGTGCAGCTGAAAGCCATGAGAACCTAGGAATGCATGCAGTGCTTTAGAAACTTGAATTCTGATTGCGGTGAGTGTATTTACCCCCATCCTCAAGAGCTCTATAAACAAATTTTATTGTACACAATTGATACCAGAACTCAAGACAGTAATCCCCAGCCACAGTCAACTCAGCCAAGAGTTTACTACTAACRAGCTTTAGCACACAAGAGATAAACTTCTGATTCCTTACATTCTTTTTGCTTTSTTGCATGTAACAACCATACAGCCCTCCTATTACCAAGCTCTTCTGCAAGTCTAAGAAACCCACAACACTTGCACAACACTAGAGATGATAATGTTAAAAGATGTACTCTTGCCAAGAGCTACAAGGTATCAGCTTTATTCTCCAGCACAAAAATTCCCAGCAAGAACTATTAAATCATTATGGGCTCACGGTGGAATGCTTTTACAAAAGAAGCAATTAATAAAACATTATCTTGAACATATGTTTATAACAAAGGAAAAAAAAGGTCAGGAGGTCCCCAGAAATGTCACGCCAAACATTTTCCCTGATTCTGTATGCTTGTAAAATCTAAGTGTGGCTGAATTTGTGATGYCACCTTCTGATAAATGGTCTGCAGCAACTGAACATTTGCAGACCGTGCTAATATATTACTGGGTGGTGAGGATTTAAATTTTTTTCTTACTTTTCATAAATTCATGTAGGTATCTTGCTATCAGAGAAGGSTTTTCACAAACCTACAGAACAAGAAACATTAGCTGATGAATTAGATGTCCTGTGCTTGTGCTGTGGACAATCAGATCACATCYACCATATATTGGCAAGCAGTATATTCTACTGGTAGGAAACAGAAGATGAGGACCCTGCCACAAMGCCTCTGCAAAGTTGCATTTTTCTAACCTAAATGGATGTGTCCATACATGGTCAAAGGCAGAGAAAGCAGCAACATCTGGAAAAGATTCAAAATATCACTGTAAACTAGTGTCATTCATAGTTAAGCATCCAACTGTACCCTATCATCTGATTTACAAGTATTCCCAAGGGATTCATGGAAAACATTAGTTCAAGTCTTGGAATTTAAAACTTTTTACGAAAAGTCTTCTCCAAACAGACATTTTCCCATGCACTCCAGTCAAGTGGGTCACACGGGTCTCCTTGGCAGTTACTACACAGCAGTAAGGACTTGATGCTTGTTACAGCTCGACTGCTTTTTATTGGATTAAACACGCCTTTGCCACTTAAGGCAGTCAGATAATGATCAGAGAAAACACATTTAATACCTCCTCATTTCTGAATATGTTTCCTTTGAATTCATCTGACATCTAATCACTTACCATTAACTGTTTTTTTTACATTTTCCATGAAATTAATACAAAGGACCTGTCTCATGAAACAACTCCAAACTGCAATGGTTTTCAAGCCCAACACAGTTTGTGTTTTTCTATATGACAGCCTCTTATATAATTCCTGCTGAGTAAGTTATTCCCTCCAKATAAGAACAGGTTGGTATTATGACCAAGATTTGATGATGCTCTGGTGGCTTTTTCCATCTCTACCCTACAAAACCCTTTCAATCCTCAACTTAAAAAGGTTTTCACTGGCAAAGGATACAAATTCAGTGGATCCAAACAGCAGCTCCCACTGCTTATTCTTTGATTTAGTATTTGACTGGAAACATCTACATCATACATGTGAGTTGCTAGCACACAGGATTTTTAAGCTTGCTGAGGGAAACAATTTTATCCTCACTTACACTGAAAAAAGATAGTTTCAGTCCCTTTCTTAAAATGCTACACTGAGTTTTCATTTATCCCAAGGAGCTGAAAGCAAAGCTGCATTGCAAGTATACTACAAAAAAAAGTAAACAGTAGTTTCTAAAGGGGAAGATAGCCTTTAAATCTATTTAATTCCCATCATATTATTTCCTAAATCATTTTAGACCCCAATTCACAACAGAAAAAAAGTTTTGATGAGCTCTTGGCCTCAAGCTTTAGCCCACACAGTGGAGGTAGGAAAATGGCTTTTCAGCCAGAGCTCTGTTCAAGCCCTTTTTTCCCCTCTCTCCAGCTTTACATGGAAAAAAGAACCATTAACTAAGGCTTTCTGAAAAGTATGGGGCTTTTGCTTCAACCAGTAAATCAATGCAAATCAAAGCACCCTGATGGTCAGAATGAAAAGATCATCTAATCTTGCCACCAAACAGATGAAAATACTTAACTCAAATTCCAGAAATTCCATACACAGTTTCATATTATTTTTTTCTTACACTGATGCACGTTTAACAAGGGTGGGAGYGAGTTATCTCTGAAAGATGTCTTGGTTTGGGTTTTTTTCTTGTTAGCTTGTGTACGAATTCTTCCAATAATTTTTTCCAATTGAAAAAAAAAATCTTCCAATGACACAGAATCCATCTCACTGTTATTTAAAATCAAATTCAGTGAACAAAACCTGAACTGGYTTAGCTTCTGCTAAACCAAAATGTAATCATTAGTAATGAAATCATATTACATCTCTTGACCAATAAAAAAGACACCATTCCACTTGGTTTTCAAACAGCCACTGTTTAGTTTAGTAGAAACTATATTATATGAGAGTTTAACTCTTTGCCCACCACTTCCATCCCAGTTAACATCTCTTCAAAACAGGTAAACTCTTCTAATTCAAATAATGGTCTGATGCCTCTGCTGACAAGCTTTCAAGTCCATTTATCAGGCACTGTGGTTTTACATGAAACTGATAAAATAGCCTAACAGACATTATCAAAGCTTAGAAAATATTAATATATTGTTAATCAAACTCTGGATGTTCAAAAGCTTTTCTCCAAATAAAAAAACTGATATTCTGCAATGAATTAATTTTGTAATAGTATTCAAGCTTKAATGTTGAGCTGACAAGCAATGCCATTTAGACTTCTCAATATGGACATAACTAACTTTTTTCTTTTAGTGTGGTAATTAATCTGTGTTCTGACATTGGATTAAAAATGTCTTACCCAAAACCCCGAACAAAAAAGCCCCAGAGGTCTCACAAAGCACTAAAGTCAGTGGTTCAAGGTACTGAATCTTAGTTAATTGATTCCAACAAGCAAAAAAGTACTCTATTTTGCAGTTTCTATTTAGCATCTTGCATACTCTCCTAACTCAAYACAGGACCTAACCACTTTATGACAACTTTGCAATTGTGCAGTCACTTCAGCCACAGTTGAATTTTGCAGCTGGAGGAACTCTGTTAGACAATGAGAGCAATGGTGAGCACCCTCAGCCTTCACGTGTACAAAGTTAGATTATCACAAGGCATCTTCTCCAAAGTCTGCAACAACTGCACAAGAGGGACAAGCAGAGCTCATGCATCCTTATTCAGTTGCTCAGCTGTGGAGGCAGAAAATACCCCACAAACATAATGATTTCCTAAATTATCCATAACATTATTACTTCTTAGCATTAGGTAACTGTTATTTTTAGTGATCTTTTTCTAACACAGAAAACAGGTTCCTTTTCTTGAGAGAAAATATAATTGATCAGTAGCAAGTTATAATACAAAGTAAATGGATCAACTTCAGCWTTCCAGTCTCTAAGTATTTTAGTTGCATCATATACTTGCAGAAACATGATCTTTGCCTATGTTAGTCTAGTATGCAAAGTCAGACAGGTTCACCCCAATCCCCAAAGTTTCAGATAGCTTGTAACAGGTAAATAAGTACCACAAAGGATACAGTCTGTGGATGACTTGCAGATACTTTTATACCTTGGGTCCCTGCACTTCCATCAAATCCCCTTAACGTTTAGTCTCCCAAAAGTCTGCCTTAAACAGCCAGGGATTTCACTGAACATATATGTAATTCTACAAATTTACTCACTCTTTTAATTGATAATGAGCTAGACTGCAACTTCAAAAAGCTCTGCATGCGTATGTGTTTTCTAATCCACAGCAAAACACAAAACACTTCAGGGYTCCCACATTTCAACAGGCTACAGGTTTGAGAGCCTGAAAGTTTTGTATAGTTCAGACAGACGCACTGAAAGACACTGAATATTTCTTAGTGGCTCACAYAATGACTGAATATATTTTGAAACTCAGGTATTTATATGACAACTGTATATCACCTCACATTACTAAACTGCAAGTTACAATGCTCAGGCTATAGCTTTTTTCCCCCAGACATACCTGTACAGTCTTTTTAATTCTGTGTGAAGGACCTGGATACTCTGGGGAATACAATTCTGTTAAGAATAATGAGTTGATTAATGTTGATTTTCCCAGTCCTGATTCACCTAGAAGAAAACAGAACAGTTTCAGTAAAACCAGGAGTATCACATCAAATATAAACATTCAGATCTACAATTCAAACACAGGTGAAACATAATACCTGAAAACACTCACTGCACTCTAAGACTTTGAGAATCTATCATCTTTTCCAATTTCAATGAAAACTTTTCAAATTCAACTATCACTGCTGGATTTTACAGACACTAATTTTTCTGATCATATTAAGTATTGAATGCATTCAGTACTTTTCTCCGTTGCTTCCATTACAACGCACAAAGATACTATTACACTAAATTTTATACACAAGCTGTCTTCCTGGTATAATTTCTTATCATAATGCCAAAGCAGATTAAGTTATACCTTTTATTTCAAGTACTATTTATTYGAGAGTCTTTATTATCAGGGAGGGGAAAAAAGAAGCAGGGGTGGGAGTGGGGGGAGGGAGAAAGACTGACATTAGTTTGTTGTAACTACTAAAGCCACAAGAGATAAAATGTAGTTTCAAACTATGTGGTTTGCCTGGGAATTTTGTTGTTGTTGGGGCACAGAAGGGGGCTGGATTTTATTTGGGTTCTTTTTGKTAATTTGTTCATGAGCAACAGTAAATCAGCCTTGCTGAAGAATCTGGAGACACTACTGCCATGACAATCCAAGCAAATAGTTAAACATCCCACAGCAAAGATTACCCTCCATTTACAAGGGGAAGAATTACAGATCAACTATTTATTATAGTATTTCAAAAGAAAAGKTTTTTTCTTAGCTTTTTTATGGTAAAGCAACTACTTCAACACAACACTGGCATGAGAACTAAGGAAAAAGGTATTAAAAAAATGCTGTTTTAAGTTTCATATGCAGCCTGATAGTGCATTGACCTAAACAAAAACAGTCACAGAGAAATTTGCTTTTAAGCTAATAAATTTTGTAGAAAACTATACACTTTCATTGAAAAAAGAGAATGAGCTGCAATGCGCCCATATTGGAAAGGGAAAAACTTAACTAAAGCACTAATCACTTTACCTCCAACAAATACTGTGTTGATTTAGAGACTGAATTCAGAAAACTTCCAAACCTGTCTTGAGATAACTTGTCCTGAGTTAATGCAACAGAGTTAYGGAACAGAAAGTAGCTGCGAATTGTCCCCACTGTAATAGGTGTCTCGATTCCCTACAGGAGCTGGCTCATACACCCCCAGCCAGCTCCATTACAGTGGTGGAGCACTGAATGTCTGCAGCACCGAGCAGAGCAATCTCATTAACTCCACTGTAAACGGATTAGCAGYSGCTGAAACACTGCAACCAGAGCTCYTGSCGGCTGTCTGCGCTCTCYSTTGTGCTCGTTCTGCAAACCCCAGCCTCTCGGACAGATGAGCTAACCCGCGCTGCGAGCAGGAGCTGGCTACAGCCAGGCCGGTGTGCTGCGGCAGCCAAAGAAAAGGGAGATACTCAAGTTATGGTTTCAAGATAGCAATGSAGGGAACACTAACCTCACCAGGACAGGTTTATGCAAGCCAGAAGGGACGTGCTTGTTGATAAGATTTCATCACTACCCTGCAGATTTTGCCTTTTTCCGTGGTCAGATGCATGAGACAGGAACTATGCAGTAAACACAGTGCCTCCAGAGTCTGGTTATAAAGGACACAAATTTTCTACTCTGTGTTTGCAAGACTTTAAGGGCTGGGCCAGCTKCAGCCGAGGGGCCGCCCTACCAATTCTGCAACAGAAAGAAGCTTCTGAAATGCACAACTTTTCAATCTCACAGATGCACCCTGGTTAAAGCTTAAACTCCATCTCAAAACCATGCTCAAGAGATACGTATCATTCCAGTTAAACTGAAGATTTTTATCCACCCTTGAARCCCTCAAGAGGGTGACCCTGATTTTGCAATGTACAACTGATATACTTTCAGTGACCTTCACTTTTTTGCTTGACCATAATCTTGAAACCGCTCCCTACTACAGTACTGAAGAAAGATTTTTGCATCAGATTCTACTTCAGTATACAAAAAGGGCTCCCCCTTCTTTTTCCTTCTATTAGGGTTGCTGCAGGTTTTAATATGTTACAGAATTTGAGGTGAAAAACACKGAGAACAATCACTTCTCCTGAAAATCAGTGCCTGTCAAGTTGTCACTGAAATTCAACATATGGAAATCAGATTTTCAGCTTCAAAAGGCTGCAATGGAACACCAGCACTTGGCCCTAGATGGTTTGGGCAGCTGTGGCACTCCATACCAAGCAGTCCCTGAACTGCTGAAGCATTACGACCTGAGAGATTTGAGGTTTGGTCCCCTCCTCACCCTTTGCCCCATTGCAGCTGCAAGGATGCGAAGAGAGTTTTGAGCTGAAATTTTTAAGAAAGGAAAGCCTCCTAAGGATATTTATGCATAACGTTATTCCCAAAGGTGCCCAACTTCCTAGACATCCTTACCCACCATGCTAACTTTAATCAGACAGTGCAGATGATAACAGTATAAACTGCTTAACTGCTACCAGTAATTGAGGTATTACATGTAAGGGTCTGCACCAATGCACCAAACCTGGATGCAGTTGGGCTTTAGACCATGTAATGGCCAACATCTACAGTGGTAATAAAATGATGCAATATCAAATAAAACAATTATATTGAAACTGTAGGTAAAAACCCTAACTGGAACACTTAATATTGTACTATGGGGAGTCATGCTACTTTCACTATAATAAAGCAAGAATTTCTCTGCTGGCTACAGTGAAAGCAGAATTACAGAAATCAACCATTTGAAATGAACAATTCTAGCAGCTTTTCTAGACACATCAAAATATTCTGATCTTTGATAGGAACATGGAAAGAATAAAAAAATTCAAAAAAAAATTCAATCCCCAACCAAAATAACCCTTCCAAAAAAAAAAATAAAAAAATTCAAAAAAAAATTCAATCCCCAACCAAAATAACCCTTCCAAATTCCCAAAACAAACAAACCAAAACACAGAAAAAAACCCCTTAACTCCAACCAATAAAACTCTCTGTCTTTCTCATGCTCCCTTGCTCAACCCAAATTTACCTGAAAGAACTGCCTACTGGAAAGGCTGGAAAATCAGCTTCCAAGGATTCAACAGGCTATGAATATGATAAAGAAAACAGCAACACAACAGAGAACGGGAAACAAGTGAAATTCAATTTGCCTTTACACAAACAAAAAGTATATATCCCAAATTAAATGCATCTTCCCACTTTCAGTAAGCACTCCGGAGGAGATTTTGCCTTTTGACTATTACATGAACTGGCAAAAGGATGTAACGTAATAGAACCTTTTCAGCAGTAAAACCTTGCCATCACTTAATGCATTATGATGCATTTAGAGTGAATGACTTTTAGAAATTTGGTTTAGAAAGAAAAATAAAAAGGAAAATATTTCTTTTTCAGGGTAATTCTGAATCCAAAAGGTTAATTATTTCTGGTATCCAGGTACTGCTTTTACCTTGTCCTCATTCTACCACTAAATATTTCACATTGGCTTCAAGTTCTTCTGAGTATTGTTCTTTTTCTTCATTATTTTGTGTCTCAGGTTTATCAGTAACTTAGTGTTTCAAAATGTTAACATTTTATCAAGCTGTTTTTATAGTCACATTCAAACACATGGAGCTGGCCACTCCTGTTGGCAGAAATAAGCACATACTTTTACTAACATACTTCTGTCAGTCTTGTGAAGGAAGACCTTTTGTCAGCCCTTACAGGAATGGCAAAAGTTCCAACTCTTCTCAAGTTCATAAATTTCTAAATGGCTATACAAATACTGAAATGTTTCTGATACACCTGGGTTAGCAATTACCTCTTGACTATTTGCATCTTTATAGAGATGGCCCTTGGCACRTAATTTAAAATTACCCTTGGACAGCAAAATTTCTTCTGTAAACAAAACAGTGTTCAAGTATTTCCCCTTTTTTTCTACACATACAAGTACTAGCTATAACATGAGAATGGAGACCAAGAAAAAAGAATAAAACCAACACATTCAGTTTCCTCTTTTACATCTCAAGCATGTATTGGTCAGACATATTTCTGAGGCTCAGAAGAGACCACCAGCAACCACTGGAATGGTWTGCAAACTATGTCAATAGTCTCCAGAATAATATTAAAGCAAGTAAGTACAGGGAATGAACAATTAAAAAACTGGAACAACGACGCAGAATCCATGTGAATTGGGGAAAGCACTGCTCAGGTTAAAAAAAATAACTAAGTAGCTCAGGTAACTCCCAACTGAGCTACATAAATCTTTCACCTTCATTTCTAAATCCCTCCGGGTAAATTAATCAGAAATCCTAATCTGTGATAATAAASTCATAGCAAGAATTGATTATTACAAAMAAMCTCAAACTGCCAGCATCTCCTCCCYRTGAAGTGAATMGTTACCCTTAATGATGTTTTTTTCACCATTCATTGCTGCAGCACATTGAGAACGTGGCATATTTCCAACCTCCTCTAACTTTTCAGCCTGTGCAATTCATACACAAATATCTACGACAAAGATGGACAAGAAGTGCAGTCCAACCAATCTTTTTTCCAGCTTTATCTGTAACGTCTGGGAGAGACCACTGTTTTCTCATTCCTATATTGTACCCCTTAATAATGCATCACGCTACCTCTTCTAGATGCTGCATCATGCTGAAAATCGTAGATCAGTTTCCTTTATTATTTTTAGGATCCTGTCTTCTAAAACCCAAAACCTTAAAAGCATGACTTGCATTCTTAGTTTTATGACCTTATATGAGAGCTCATTAAAAATATCAAGTGATCAGGTGAATAACCAATCTTGAATATTCTTAGTGTGCTCTATGCATGATTGCCTATCTCTTCATTGTAAGTGACTCTTGCAGAAATCACCAAAAGTTTTCCATTCTTCACTAACAATTACTTGGCTATCTACCAGAGAAACAACATTTTATACTTATGCCCTGGGASAGTCAACTGGCACCACTGGGAACATGACCACAAGTGCTACGTGTACTTAAGAATTTCAAGTTGCTTTCCCAAG